CCTCTGTCTTCTTTATGTAATAATTGTCGGGGTTTGACCAGAGCTAAGGAAATACAATACTATCTCCAGCATTCAGCTAAAGCAGCTTCAGCATTTCAGGAGATAGGGTTGCAGAGGGGGAAGGGAAGTTTGCATGGTTACTGAATCAGGATATTAGAGATAGAAGGTGAGTGAGGTCAAGTGTTTTATTGAACCTACTTCTTCCATTGGTGAGAGAGATGAGTGAGTCAGGCTATCTAGGAATGGATTGTGTGGGATGAGGGGAGGAGAAATGGGAACCATCTAGGCAACCGTTTAGAAGTTTTAGGAACAGTACCCTTCCGATGAGCCTTCTCAAATCCAGATCTGAATTTCTTGAAAGTCTTGGATCTCAAAGGTTTTGTTCATCTCGTTCATGAGTGGTAGGGGCTGGCCACAGATTTACATCCCAAGCCCCCTCTGAGAGAGGGGCGTGGGAAAAGGAGGTTTTGGCTTGGGTTCATGTCTAACACTGATCACAGTGTTAATAATGAAACTTGTCTTATATCAGGTCTGGGCAAAATATGGCCCGCGGGCCACATTCAGCCTGGCAAGTCACTGTATCCAGCCCATGGATGCAGCAGGGAGCCTCAGGCAGGTTCTCCTGCAGCCCTGCACACTGCTCAGAAAAGCAGCTGCGGGACTGTTTCTCTTTCCAAAACTGTGATCCCAGAGGGGAGGGGGAAGGTTTCAGGCACTGCCCCCGCCCCCAGTACAATCCCGTCAGTTAGTTACTGGACAGAAACTGGCCAATGGGAGCTTCCTGTTTGAATAACAGGAAGCCAAGAAGCATCATGCCTTCGGTTCAGTTATTCACACAAGCACATGGCTTGGCAAGCAGGCTGGCTGGGAAACATTTTAAGCTCTACAAACATTTAGCGCGGCAGGCTGGTTTGGCTGCTGGTTGGTAAGTCTCCTGGCCAGAGCCTGCACCTGGCAACCCAGTCCCTCTCTTCCCCAGACACCTGCCACCCCACTCCACATACTCATATCTTCTGCCCCATACCTCTTCCCAGATCTGCCATCCCAATCCCCTCCTACCTTAGGTCACATTCCAAACCCCTGCACCCCAGTCCCCTGTCCTAGGTCACAACCGCCTCCTTTGCCCAAACTCCCTCCCAGACTCCTCTCTCTCTTTCCTGCACCCCAGTCCATTACCCCAAGCTTCCTTCTGCACCCAACCTCCATCCCAGACCCCGCAGCTCTTCCATTAATATCCTGGAAGAGTGAGGCCCTCAACCACTTTCCAAAATCTTGATGTGGCCTCCCATCAAAAATTATTGCCCACCTCTGTCTTCGATCCTCCATGTGGCGCACCAAACCGGATGAGGTAACTGGAAGAAACCGCAGAGCCAAAACTCAGATGCAAATCAAAGCCGGAGTCAAGGAGCTATTACATGTGATACGCTTTGAAGAGGCACTTGGGTGGCGTATCTGTTGGGCAGTATTTCCATGTTAGGGGGAGGCAAGTGAAATGGCCAAAATTGCACTTCTGCAATACCAATCCTCGGTACTAGGCAGCCAAACCAGAGCCAAGAGCCGGGAGAGCATGGTTAGCACTCACAAGGGATAATGCTGCAATCTTGGGGACATGGCTATACATGGAATAGGCTGGGCTGGAATTCCACAAGCAGGAAGGGAAATGATTTTATTGCTATTGATGTCAGGGTTTTTTTTTTTTTAACATGCCCACCCCACACTCTTGATTTAGATACAAAATCAGATGCTTAAAAATGGGCACATCGGTTCCCCCTGGAGGAACCTAATGGGAAGTTTCCTTCTTCCTAGAAGTTCTGAGAACTTGCAGCTTCCATTGACTTCAGTGCAAGTGCCAGTGAGAACTGAGCCATCCTCTTTTGCATGCCCCATTAAGACTTTCAGTGTGGGATTTGGCCAAATTCTGCTTCTGTGGGGGCACTGGCAGTTTAGCCATTGACTTAAATGGGAACTAAACCAATGCTGAGAGCTTTATAAAACAACATACTAACGTTAGGCCTCTGTAAGCATACTTGGAACAGCAGGGTGGATATTCGACCCCTCCATTATTAAGCCCTGCATGACGATAAGGAGAATTAGACTCTTTTCTTTGATCCCTTTTTCTTTCTTATATTAAGGACCTGATGCTTGAATAAACTGGCATAGCTCCACCGACTTCAATGGAGTGAATCTGACATGGAGCTGGCCCCACGGCGCACAAACAAATCCCTCTATTGACGTCAGTGGGAGGCGCATGCTCACACGTAAAGGTCCAATTTGGTTTCAGAGCTGCTGTTGCACAGAAAGAGACATTTGTTCAGCACAGTTTTTAATATCCAAATGCTTCCGGACTTTGATTCCTTACTTCCTGGGAGAAATGCCCCTAAACAACACTCCGAAGCTCGCACCTCACAGTTTCTGTGGCTTTTCAGAGCATCTCCTTTCTTTGTTCTTTTACCACATTTGCACACATTTGCCAGTCATACACAACATTTTATTAAACTGTACAAACAGCACTGACATTTTAAAAATTAACAACGATTCTAATTAAACATGATGACTAGCTGCAAAGAGTAGGCACAATTTTTCCCTTCAAGAAGCATTTGACTCACATTACTGGGATTTCTTTTTTTTTTAAAAAGGTGGTTAGATCTGTCTTAGATTTTCATGCTGCTGCCCATCACTGTAGCATGCTGAGTGTCTAATCCCTCATGTGGGGCCATGGTCACTGACACAGGTATCCAGAACGTGGTTGTACAGATAGAAAGCCTAAGACAGTTTTAACTGTCATGAGTCTCTAAGTTTACATTGCCCTTGGAAACCCCTAAATATTCACTCAGATTCCCAGCTGAAATAAACCAACATCACTCCATTGAAGTCAACAGAGCTACAGAGAGCAGAGTATCTGGCTCTGTATTTCTGCTTTGACATAACCAGACTAAATATTTCCATTAGACTATCATAAAAAGCAGTAACTTAGAGGCATTACATCTTTCCATTTCTATCTCTAGAACGGCATCTCAATAAATAGGACAACGGTTTCACAAATCTCAGAAGACAGTGTACATTTATTGCAAATAAAGGATTTCCACTAAAATCTCATTATTGCTATGATATTTTTTGGCCCACCTACATTCCTACAAATGCTGAAACAGAACATCATAGGTCAGCAACTTGTCAACAGTTAGGAGAAAATAATTCTCATCTCATGCAATGGATTGTCTCATCTTTGGAGTGTTGTGTGCAATTTTGTTCTTGCAGAGTACTGAAGGGCAGGGTTGAGTTGTTTGGACTTTGAGAGTACTAATTACTCCTTTTCAGTGCTACAACTGAAGGCCCCATCTTAAAATCCCTAAATAATGTTTTGGGGAGAGTTTCTCTAGATTTCTGACTATGTGGAAGGAAAACAGATTCTTCCAAAGAGAATCTAGCTCAGATTTTACCCTGAACCTGGTGGATGTTGGGACAGGAGTTTACCGAGTCTTGTGTGAATACCCTCAGGGCTCGTCTACATTGGCCCCTTTTCCGGAAGGGGCATGTTAATTTCACGAGTCGTAATAGGGAAATCAGCGGGGGATTTAAATATCCCCCGCGGCATTTAAATAAAAATGTCCGCTGCTTTTTTCCGGCTTGTAGAAAAGCCGGAAAAGAGCGTCTACACTGGCCCCGATCCTCCGGAAAAAAAGCCCTTTGAAGTAGGAATAAGATCCTCCGGAAAAAGGCTTTTTTTCCGGAGGATCGGAGCCAGTGTAGACGCTCTTTTCCGGCTTTTCTAAAAGCCGGAAAAAAGCGGCGGACATTTTTATTTAAATGCCGCGGGGGATATTTAAATCCCCCGCGGATTTCCCTATTGCGATCTCTGAAATTAACATGCCCCTTCCGGAAAAGGGGCCAGTGTAGACGTAGCCCTAGGGTATATCTACACTTAGAACTGATGGTGTGATTCTCAGCTCGAGGAGATACGTTGATGTTACTTCTGATAGCGCTAGCACACTAACAACAGAGTGTAGATGCAGGAGGGTGGAAGTGCCCTAAATGTGTGGGAGATGGGCAGTGGTGCCAGAACCATGGCTCTGCCCCCATCTTGCTCCTTCTCTTGGAGGCCACACCTTTGAACCGCCTCTACCCCTGAGGCCACACCCCCAACACTGCTGCTCACTCTTCTCCCCTCCTCCTTGCTCTCCCTTATGATCAGTGAAAAACGGAAGGGCACAGTCCTCTCTCTTTGAAAAGTGCATCTGTGTTTGTGTGGGGGGGAGGGGAGGGAGATGATCTCCTGGCATCCCATTCCAGCACCCCTGTGCAGATGCAGCACTACAAGAGACTGGGGAAGAGGCTTGCCTCCCTGAGTATGTCTGAGATGCCAGGCATGTACTTGGGGCAGCTCAGCCCTTCAGATGCTCACACAACCACAGCTACACTCTAATTTTCGCACAGTGGCTCAGTCAGAGCTAGCCTGGATACCCACACCTCCAGCTGCAAGCATAGACACTGCTGAGAGGCTCAATAAAGCTCCTAATTGAGCCTCAGAGCATTGACCCAGGAGCTCAATTTTTAGTTTACGTGATTTTTAAAACACATACATGACAACAGCCTGGGCCAATACCTGCATGCACACCGAAGCAAATCTAACATTTATGTGCATGCAAGTGTTGGAATGTGCACCTGCAAAAGCTGTATGTATGAAGGTTTTTTGTGGGGACAAATTCAAACGTTTGCATAGAAAAAGGTTTTTTAAAGCAGGGGTGGGGAACCTAAGGCCTGAGGGCTGAATGCAGCCCCTGGCTTGCCTGGATCTGGCATCTGAGGCTTGGGGCTCCTCCCTGGCATTGGGGTGCCAATGCTGGTGCTCTAACCTTCCCCCCAGCATCCTCCCGCAGGGCTGGAATACACCAAATTTATGAGCCTCGGGCCTCCTAGGTCCTGGTGTGCAAGGGGAATGTGGGAAGTGTCTTTCTCCTTCTGTTAAGGGCCATGTCGGTGAAGGGTTTTTGTTTTTTTGTTTTTCTCACTTTTGTGTGGCTCCTGACTGATTTTTCTGTGGGTCAGCGACCCCTGATCCAAAAAAGTTTCCCCACCTCTGTTTTAATGTGTGCAGGCCTGTCTATGTCTTTGCAAAATGCCTGTACATGTGCATGCAATTTTGCCGGTGCACAGGTGGAGTGTACAAAGAGACCTCCCTAGAAAGGTAACTTTCTAGGAGGTCCTAATTCTTGAACACACATCCGGCAATGGAAGTTTTGCCTGAATAAGAACTTCAGGGTCAGATACTGGAGTAGCAAATTGAACAGCAGCACTAGGGCTGAAATGTAGTTGTCTTACATGAGGTGTCCCACTGATTATATGTATGAATAAGGTGAACAGGATTTTGTACCTGCTCCTTTTCTATTGCCTTCAAATTCAAGAGCATCCAGAAAAGAGAAAGAGATCCAAGGAGACCAGAAAGAGAGTTGGTCATTAGTGAAGTACTTTGACATCTGCTACAGGATGCAGCCAGGTGGATATCCACAATACGGGTTTAGCTTTCACTGGTGAGTGCTTCTGTTTGTTAACCATTCTTAGCTTTCAGTTAATAGAAGTGTTACTCAAATCAATTCACAGAATTCCTCTTGACAAAGAAGGTGCCAGGGAGGGCAGATCTCAGGATAACATCCTCTCCATTTTAGGGTTCACAAATGAAAAGTTGCTGAACATATTCTGGTCCATGCTGTTAATCAGCGCTCTGTCTGCACAAGACAGTCTAGGTTTTTCATTGAGAAATTCCTTGTCAAAGTTGCTACAGTCACTTGAGGATTTCTTCAAGAAGAAAGCAGAAAAGAATGAAAAAAAAATCAGATGTTTCATTTCAAAGCATTTGCCTTTAATCTAATCTCATCTCATGTAATCTAATGGTATATTTCAGGTAGTGTTTCTGAACCTTTTATAAAGTACCCCTTTAAAAATATATATTATAAGTATCCCCAGTACCTACAGTTTTCAGATGCACAATTTTTTTCTACCATTGCAACATATTTGTTTAAACAACTTAATCGTAGGTGGTGAAATTTTTGGGTGTAAAAAGTATAAAAATAATAAATCACTGTAAAACTTAAAACAAAAATTCAGTTTTCTCCAAATTTCAGTTGTATTGACATACCCCCAGACTTCACTCAAGTACCCCTAAGGGTACTTGTACCACTGGTTGAGAAACACTGATTTAAGGAACCCATAACGTTGGTATCAAAGGGCATGTCCACACTAGTGTCACAGCTACTTCAGGCAGCTGAGCTACTGTAGCACGATAGTATAGACAGTTCCTGTATCGATGGAAATGATTTGGGGATTGACATAGTTAATCCCCTTCTCCACTAGGCAGCATGGCAGAATAATCCTTCCATTGATCTAGCCACATCTACACCATGTGATGTGTAGATTTTTCAAAGTCCTGAGCAATGTAGCTAGTTCAATCTAATTATTAAGTGAGGACCAAGTCTAAGGCCAGGACTACAATAGACCTGGAGGCTTAGTTTAAAGTATGCAACTCCAGCTACATCGAATACGGAGCTGGACTCAACCTACTTCAAGCTGAACTTGGTGGCGTCCCTACAGTACAAGGCCAATGGGAGCAAACACTCCCATCAACTTCCCTTACTCCATGCATCAGCAGGAGTACTGGCCACCAGAAAGGGTGTCCTCTGAGTTTGATTTAGCGAGTCTTAACTAGACTGTGGCACCATCGGTCTTCCATGGAGTGAAGACATGGCCTTGGTAGCCATCATCCTGATATTGGTTAGCTTGATATAAAAATAACCAGCAGCTTGGTGGCAATCACGTACCTATGACAATAGTATCTAAGTAATTGGGAGATTTTATGGGCAACAGTGTATGTGTGACCCCAATTAATTCTATCATGTAGGACATTAGTAAATGAGTTTCTGTAAAACAGGGATAATTATGCTTATGTATCAGTCTCTGCAGGCTAATTAGCTAGTGTTTGGAAATTACTTTGAAGGTAAAGGGATCTATATGAAAGCGGAATTGTAAGCGCTATATAAATGCTATTGCTATTATCCGCAACATCAGTGTTCTCCAGATTTCATAGAGAAGCTAATGGCTTGATTTGGTTTTGAACCTCAATTCTGTGTGTCGTAATGAAGCAGAATCCCAAGGGGTCAATGCTTAATTTTGGAAAGAGGTGCCGGGATTCAAGCAACTGGTTTACATTCATAACGAATGCAGCAAGCCAAGAAGTGCATAGATTACCAACTGCCAAGCCTGCAGGTGTTGGGGCTCAGCCTTGGCACAAATTCTGAGGTACCAGAAGTGAGGTTTAGCATTTTCCAAAGGCCAGTATTGTCTATCCTGCATGTGCAAAGTCAATCCACGTTCAGACCGCAGGGCCTGATTTGCGGAAGAGAAGGGAAGAGTTCCCACACCTCCAGGTGAAGTCCGTAGGTGCTGCAAGTGGGAAATCAGCACAACTGAAAATAAGGCCCCAAGTGCCTAAAAGTGGATTGATTTCCCTGACGTGAGACCCTGAAGCGTGAAAATGTTGCCCAGGGTGTCTGACTTGAGATGACCACAATTTGAAAGTGTTGGTCAGAATCCCATTGATGCTTTCCTGTCAGGCTGCTCTAATAGGCTGCTTGCAAGGGTGGTGGGTAAAGGCCTTAGGAAGGCAAGTCCCAGCCCCGCCCCTTCTGCCCAAGCCCCACCCCTTCTTCCCAAGCCCCCGCCCCTTCTGTGTCCACTGGAGCCCAGCCCTGCACCCCCTATTCCCTCCATTATAGCTGCTGACACCCCCAAAACCTAGCACATCCCCCTGCCTCCAGTGCCAGGCAGCTTCACAGCTCCAGCTCCCCCACCCTCAGCCCCAGCTATGACCCCTGGGGCAGCTGCACCACAGCCCCAGCACTCCTAGCCAGCTGAGCAGCATAACTGGTTGGAGCACTGGGCAGCTGGGCAGCCACACCACAGACCAAGCCCGGCAACCCCGTGGCCCCAGCCTTTCCGGCCAGCAGGAGCATATTAGGTGAGGCCACCTGTGTCTTGGGAAGGCAATGCCTTCCTTTGCCTTGATTACTCACTGCCCGTGGCAGCTTGTACCTGCTTCCATACGGTAGGGAGAACGCTGGGGCAAAGAACGTGGTAAGAAAAGCGTTTGAGAGGCGAACCCTGAGATTAGTCCTTACCACTCTGGGTTTGAACGGTGGCTCCACTGCCCGCTGTTCCAGAACCTCCCAGTTGATCTCCTGGAAAAAGGCGTGTTGGCGGATGTTGCCCTTTGCTCCCAGCCTCCTCTCAGGTTCTCTCACGAAAAGCTGGAAGATAGCAGAGAGACGAGGCCTTTATTCTACAGCGGACGGCGCCGTCTGCACCAGCACACAGGTAGCCACGGTAGCTCTCACCCATGGGAGCTCTTCTACCCAGTCAGAATGTGACTCTTGTTGGCAAAGTGGTGCTGATTCCTAGCCCCACTGGTCAAGCGGGAAGGTGCATCTTCTGGCCCTGTCCTCATTATTTCTGTCCGATGTTGGAGGCCAATTTTTCAATGGCTGCCACTAAGTTCTGCCCTCAAAATGTATAGGGGCCCAAGCCAACGGTATGTACAAAATAGGTGCTGAGATGCACAGTTACTGCGCTTGTTTGCCCGCACAAATGCTTGTGCAATTACACAGGTGCACAATCACCCGGGTGAGTGCAACCCACACACCTTGTGGGTATGGGTGGGAGGTATCCCACGCAAGGGAAGGCCCCCCATTTCCAACAGCCTATATTCCAGCTCCAGGCCCCTCTTGCTTGCGGTTCCTATGCCAGAAGCTGAGGCAGGCAGGCGGGGGGCCATGGTGTGCTGCTGGGGCCGTGCTATGCCATCTGTCCTCCAGGTGCTGGGGCTGCTCCCATCGCGTTGCCCCCTGCCTTGCGCTGGGGCTGGCACCACTCCAACTGCACCCCCCTGCCCAGCACAGATACTGGTGGCTGGGACAGCTGGGGCCATAATGCCTGGCTCTCCAGAGCACCAGGGCTAGGGGAGGATGGAGCTGTGTTGTTTCACTTTCTAGTGCTCTCAAGCCAGGAGGGACCGGGGCTGCACTGCCCTGGAGTTGGGGTTGGTAGCTTGGGGCAAGGGCCCATGGCTTCAATAGGGGCTGGTCTTCAGAGAGTACAGAAGGGGCATGGCCTCAGGCAAAAGGGGCAGGGATGGGGAGGAGCCAGCCACCTGGCACCAGGGGTTCACTCGCTGCCCATGTTTGTGGGTGTGGTGGTCTGTCCCATCTAGTGTCACCAAGACTACTTAGAAAGAGACTGAGTCTGCTCTACAGGCATAGCTCAGAGCCATCCAGCGTTAGCTCATATGCTAGAAGCTTATACACTAAGCTCTGGAGATCATAGAATCATAGAATAATAGGACTGGAAGGGACCTCAAGAGGTCATCGAGTCCAGCCCCCTGCCCACAAGGCAGGACCAAGCTCCGTCTACACCATCCCTGACAGATGTCTATCTAACCTGTTCTTAAATATCTCCAGAGAGGGAGATTCCACCACCTCCCTTGGCAATTTATTCCAATATTTGACCACCCTGACAGTTAGGAATTTTTTCCTAATGTCCAATCCCCTGCTGCACTTTAAGCCCATTACTCCTTGTCCTGTTCTCAGAAACCAAGAGGAACAAATTTTCTCCTTCCTCCTTGTGACACCCTTTTAGATATTTGAAAACCGCTATCATGTCCCCCCTTAATCTTCTTTTTTCCAAACTAAACAAGCCCAGTTCATGAAGCCTGGCTTCATAGGTCATGTTCTCTAAACCTTTAATCATTCTTGTCGCTCTTCTCTGTACCCTTTCCAATTTCTCCACATCTTTCTTGAAATGTGGCGCCCAGACCTGGACACAGTACTCCAGCTGAGGCCTAACTAGTGCAGAGTAGAGCGGCAGAATGACTTCACGAGTTTTGCTTACAACACACCTGTTGATACAACCTAGAATCATATTTGCTTTTTTTGCAACAGCGTCACACTGTTGACTCATATTCAACTTGTGACCCGTAGATCCCTTTCCGCCATGCTCCTTCCTAGACAGTCGCTTCCCATCTGGGATGTCACATGTTTTGTCTCTGCCTTTCCCACTCCCTGCCAACCTCCCAGGTTCAATCCCGCCAGTCAGTAACTGGGGTCTGTCAGTGCTCTGTGAGAGAGAATACTTTGTAAATAAATCTGAGGAATCAGCATTGGAAAACTTAGGCCTTGAAGGATGGCTCCATCCTAAGGCGGGTGTTGCCCTAGCAACCAAGCAGTCCAGTCGTCTGGTCTTGCATGTCGTGGGGCTCTCTGAGTTAGAAAGGCGGCTGAGTTGTGGCAACACTACTGAGAAACCACCCCTTGAGCTCTGTGTGTTGTCTCTCCTTCTGACAGCACTTTCACCATGGCCTAGGGGCGGCCCAAGGGACCAGGGCTTTCCCATTTTTTACTGGCTGTAAAGAGGAGCTTGGGAGAAGAGGTGGCACAGGGTGTGTGGCCACAGTCCAGGTCCTAGAAAAGGACGGAATGCCTATGATACAGTTTTTCTCCTGCGGGCACCTAAATGGGAGGAGAATTGGTCAGGACTGTGCAGAGAAAATGCATTTTCACTAGACAATGCCAATTTGACAAAAATGAGACTCTGTGTGGTGGCCCAAAGGTCACCATTAGAGAGACCAAGACATATCCGGGGTGATGAAACTTTCATTGAGAGAGGTTTCTTATGTCCAGGATGGAATTTCTGCTTAGAGCAAGACAGACACTTCCCTCTTGACATCCAAAAGGTCCAGTGAGGGCAGCCACATCTCAGCAGATTCTAAGTTCAAGTTCCATCTCTCTCAGACCAGGCTAGTGGCTACAGGTCTCTCTTACTGTGCTTTCATAAACATATTTGAAAGGCCTCTGTTGTCGTCCCCTTAGAGAACAGGACAATTTTAAAAAAATATTGGAAACTTTTGCAGGACAGAAAAAAAAAAAATTCCCACCCACCTCTAGTGGCCAGATTTTCCAAAATGCTTAGGACCAAACATCTCCCATAGATCTCAGCACAAGAAATTGAGTGGTAAACTCTTTGGCCCCAGTCGTGAGGTCTTTTGAAGAATGGGCCTTTTATCTGAAACAGGATGCCTGTCCTTTGGGGCAGGACCATGTCTTTAATGTGCATGCTCCTTAGCGAACACACAGCTGCTGCTCAACAAATAATAAACAGCAATAAGGTCTAGGGCCCAAGGGAGACAATCCCAGCTACTCTCATTTGCAGCAGCAAATCCTAACCTGGCCGCAGAGCTGAAATAGACCAAAGGACATTGATTGCACAGCTGTAAGTCAGGTATGCAGAGTCCGCTCAGCTAAAATGATGTGCTTTTTCTAACGGAGCTAAATAACATGTTGAATTATACACATTCAGTGATAATGGGAACTGATCATCAAGGGAGTTTGATGATGAGCAACAAGGATAATTTCCGTTCCTGAGACTACATTAAATAAAGCGAACAAAGGCTCAGTCTGCTTGTGCAGAAAGAGGGCATCATGCACATAAAACAGATGCCTACTCAGGTCTTCGTGATCTCTACTTTCACACTGTGCATTGTTTAAGCAAGACTGTGTGTACTTCATTAATGTTTATTATTCTTATTATAGGGGTTCCTACAGGCTTGAGTCTTACTGCGCTAGGTGCTATACATACATAGAACAGAGAATTCTCTTTCTCTATGATTATTATTGATCGAGTGTGATCCATTACCATGTGACTTTACTGACATATAAATAACATGGTCCTTCCTTCAAGTCCAAACCAAGCAGACTAATATGAGACATGAGAGAACATGGTGGGGAATGAAGACAACATGGAGATCAATGTAAGCTTAGGACCGAGAGGGCTTTAGCTCAGACCCATTGTGCTCTGAGAGTCTTGAAAAAAAGCCCCACTTTATATAATCAAAATTATTTCTCACCACTGTACTCACTGCACGCCAGTGAGGAAATGCAAAAATCAAGGCAAGAGGTTAGCATTCTGGCAAAAAGTAGTTGACCTGTAACAGTGGGAGGGCTGTGCTGTCTTACCTTCACTAGGATGTCTTTTGCATCCTTGTTGAGCCAGCGAGGGTAGAATGGATTATCCATGCGGATGGACTGGAAAAGCTCCTCTTCATCTTGACCATGGAAAGGAGACTGGCCAATCAGCATCTCATACAGAAGGACGCCAAACGACCACCAATCAACCGCAGTGTTGTATTTCTGCCCCAGCAAAATCTATGGCAGAGGGAGGTTGGCAGGGAGTGGGAAAGGCAGAGACAAAACATGTGACATCAATAGTCTATTAGATGGTGTCCAATGAGCGGCCAGACTTGGACCTCTCTACAGCTGCGTGGACTGAGAAGAACAGGCGCAATGCTATTCTAACCGGCAACAGGATGATTTCCCACAGCAGCCTCTGGTTGGCATAGACTCACCGGCACACTCTTCTCACAGGGTGTGTCTACACTACAGAGTTTTGTCAGAAAAATGGCCATTTTCCCGACACAACATGAGTTACATCCACACTGAAATCGCTTCTTCTGAAAGTAAATTGAAAGAACAGAGGCGGGTTTTCGGCATAGGTAATCCTCTTTCTATGAGAGAGAGCTCTTTTGGAAAAAGGTGTGTGTGGATGGGAAAGAGGGAGTTCTTTTGAAAGAAGAGGAAAAAGCACAGGTGCCCTGGTGGCCACTCTGTCCATAGTAATCACAGCTTACATGCGAGATAGCGTCCACACTGAATGGTGTGTGTGAGCCATCTGGCAGGTGGCAAAAGATACAGGTTGGGTTTGCTGGCAGCCACTGTTTGAATGGGAAGGGATATCTCCCACCGAGGCCAGTGAGATAGGGCAACATGACAGTGTTTCAGTGCCAGATGTGGGATCGAGGCCTGGTAAGTCAATGGTGTTTTAGCAAAGGCAGATTGCTGGTTGGGCCCCAAATGCAAGTAGATAACATTGGATACTTTCTGTCCACTCTGGCCATCCTGGAGCTGAACCCATGGAACTATGGGAGCGTCGGGCAGAATTCTTCCTGGGGGTTCTGAGAAAGCTGCCTCAGCTCTGACATGGTTCGCTCTAGGGCAGGAGTGGGGACCTCAGGCCCAGGGGCAGGATGCAGTGCCTGGCTTGCCTATATCCAGCCCCCGAGGTGCAATGCTAATCCCCCCAGCACTGGGGACCCTGTTTGCTGTGGGACTGGAGCAACAAAATCTACTAGCCTGGGCCCCACTAAGCTCTGGTTTTTAAGGTGATCGTGGGGAGTGTCGTCTTCTCTGTTAAGGACCACATCAGTGAGGTGTGGTTTTTGTTGTTGTTGTTGTTGTTTTTTTGGCTTCTCACTTGTGGCCGTCGACTGATTTTTCTGAGAGTCAGTGGCCCCTGACTCAAAAAAGTTTCCCCACCCCTGTTGTAGGGGTTATGCCAGCCATACCCAACCCTCATCCCTCCCTTTCCCACCCTTTTTCATTCAGCTTCTGCCCACTGTGAGTTGTCCATATTAAGAAATGGAGGGGAAGTTCATTATGCTCCTCCCCTGTGCCTACGAGTGCAAATCCAGCCACTGTGTGTGTGTGTGAAGCAGTGTGGTCTGGAGAACAGAGCACTGGTGTGGGAGTCAGAATACCTGCAGGCCATTCCTGGCTCTGCTACTGACCTACTGTGTCACCTTGGGTGAGTCAATTTACCACTGTGTCCATTTCCCTTCCCACCCTCCATCTGCCTTATCTAGTTAGCTTGTAAGCTCCATAGGACTATGCAAGTCTAGCACATGGTAGAGTGGAGCCCCAGTCTCAGTGAGGAATTCAAGACGCTATCTCAATACAAATAATAATAATAATAACAAATAACTGTGTCACTGCAGGGAATGGATTCTCTTGGAGGCACTGACTCTGGTATTGGATCACAAAAAAGGTTTCTTTAAATGAATGCTGAAGCTGAATAAAAGCCTCTGGCAACTTGATTGTGATCTCGTGGCCACCAGCGTCAAGCCGCTGTCGTTCCAATGACTCTGACAGAGCTGCTCTTGAATTGCACTGCTACAGCTGAGATCAGAATCAGGCCCCCGGAGTGCAGTAAAAGATTGACAAAATACAAGGTGGGGGGAAAACAAAGTGTTTAAAAGCTGTCTGGCAAGCACCAGTATCTATCATGACAACACTAAACTCAGGGAATGGAGGGTTGAAAGACAAAGAAATGGATTACAGAGCAAATGCCATGCATGATGCTTTGAAGGCTCTTTCTTGGGGTCTCTTCCTTCCTGAGAAACCTGTGGCTTGCTGACAAATTAGTCGAAGTCTCTCCACAGTAAGATCTCTGTGTGCTTGCAGCTGGAGTGAACACACAGCCAGATCAACCACAAAGGCAGGAGCGCCAGAACAGGGTGAGGCCAGGGGGAAGATGAATGTTGGGGGGTGGGCCATGGCGGTTTTGAGGCATACGCAAAATACGTGGCTGCATAGAGCACTCGAAAATTGTGGGCACCAAATTTTTTGGGTGCCCCTACTCAGCCATGTGTACTGGAATGCCTGAGTGAATCCCCAGGCCCACAGCAGGAACCATGCAGCTGGCAGGCAGGGAAGCAAACGAGAGAGCCCCAGGCTCCCAATAGGAGCCAGGTGTGCGGGAGGGAGGGAAGGAAGGAAGCCCCAGACCCCCAGCAGGAACAACAGACTGGGGAAGAGGGGGAATAGGAAGGCACCCCTGGCAGGAACCAGGGGAGGAGGAGAGAGAAGCTCCTGGATTCTAGCAAAAGTTGTGCGGGGGAGCTGTCTAGATGCACCCTAGATGCCCTAGTTCAGGGAGCACTAATGCAGGCACTCATCCATCCCTTTTACAAAAAACCCTTTTGATCCATGCCTACATCCAGTTGAACTCAGGGAGGATTCAGTTGATCATTCCAGATTTTCTATTGAGTTTCACGACTGGTCACTTTGATCTCATGAAGCGGTGAGGAGTCCTGTGGCACCTTATAGACTAATGAAGCGTCGAGGAGTCCTGTGGCACCTTATAGACTAAAGCTTTCATGGGCAAAGATGCATCTGACGAAGTGGGTCTTTGCCCATGAAAGCTTATGCTCCTACACTTCAGTTAGTCTATGAGGTGCCATAGGACTCCTTGCCGCTCTTCGCCGCTTTTGCAGATTCAGACTAACATGGCTACCCCTCTGATATTTGATCTCATGGTATTTCTGTCCCCTGATTGGATGAGCTACCTTTAAGTGAAATTCATTTCAGGCGGGAGCTGATTATAATCACAGATCAAATTTCATTTCTTGATTCAACCTCTTAGGCTGCAAAGTCTGTGGTCCACAAACCGTTGCCTGATCAACATTTCAGCTGTAGGAATGTTCACAGGCTTAGGCACTGACTTCTCATTTTCCTTGGGTTGTTCCACCCCTGCTTTGCCCAAAGGCCCTATCCTCACTCCACCCTTCCCCAAAGCCTATCCTCATTTTACCTCTTCCTGCCCCTGCTCTGCCCCTTCACCCCAAGGCTCTGCCTCTTCCCACCCCTGCATCACTCATTTCCTGAGGTCCCTATCCGCCTGCTGCGCCCTACTCTCTGTGTTCCCTCAAGTTCCTCCCTGAGACACCAAATAGCTGTTTGGTGGTGCAGTCGAACAGCTGTGGCCCTGGAGACAGCACCTGTGTTCACAGACAGCAATAAAGGCGACCAACAATCCAAACTGAAATCCAACTTCTAACTAGGGAAACCATTTGCAAAGAACAGGGTGTGCTTTTAACCCCGCTCTTCAAGTGATTAATCATTGTGTTTCCTCAAAGAAAATGAAGCAACCACAGGACTACATTATACCTTCAGTAACAACCGTGCAACCTCATTGAACGTTAGTGGGCTTTGTGCAGATAGGACTGAGCACAGATTTGCCCTAAATACAGGTCATACCTACCTCGGGAGCAATGTAATCTGGGGTTCCGCAGAAAGTGCTCGTCTTTGCATCTTCAAACATGTTCTCCTTACACATCCCAAAGTCAGCGATTTTGATATGCCCGTCCTTGTCTAACAAAACATTATCTAGCTTCAAATCTCTGCAAGAGAAAAGCAAAGTGAACATCTCCTGTGGAAATGTTATCCAGAAGCACAAGCACTAATATAATATATTATATTATTGCAGTGGGAGACAGACAAGATTTGGTAATTTGAGACCACAAACAGAGAGGTCAAGGTGTCCATCCTGACCCCAGAAATCTCTGGGTATGTCTACACAGCAGGGCTAAAGTCGAATTAAGCTACACAACTTCAGCTACATCAATTGCACAGCTGAAGTCGAAATAGCTTAATTCGGCTTTTGGCCCTGTCTACACAGCAAGAAGTTGAATTTTCCCTCGACTTCCCTTACTCCTCGTGAAATGAGGGTTACAGGAGTCAGGGTAAGAAGTCCTTTAGCTCGACATTATTTCGGAATAATGGCTTGTAGTGTAGACGCGCACTGTTATTTCGAAATAACGCTGCTGTGTAGACATAGCTTCTGTGGCCAACTCAGTGAGTTAACACTGTCCATTCCCATTTTCTCACCTGTCCTATGAGCTGATTAATAGTTACTGTAGCTACCATGCTCCAGGAGGGCATTGTGAAGATTAATGGAGAGCAGCATAGAGCTGTATTGACTTCCTGGAAGCTCCAAGAGAAAATATCCTGTGTAGGAGGGGCAAGAATGGTCTTCTCCCCTGCCTCCAACTCCTTTGAGCTGCCTTGAACCCCAGGGCACACAAGGAAGATGCCCATCTTGCACTCAGGGAAACATGGGCTGTGGTTTTTACCTCACTGCTGAGTCAGGGTGCCCAAAGAAGGAAGCTTTTTGCTTCCTCTTTCTCATTTGGCAGCCCTGCAGCAACCCACAGGAAATAGCAACATGAGCAGCTCTGCTTCTGAGGGTGGGGAGGGATGTTAGGAATTCCTGGAAATTGAGACAAAGGCCCAAATATACTTCCACACAAGCCCCGCCTCCAAAATGGAATGCCACAATGGGTGCATTTAGAATGCCACTAGAGGCGCCTGTGCATAGCAGCACATGGCGATCCAGCGGAGCTAGCTTTGATCTAGCTAGTTCAAAAAACCAATCACACAGAAGCCGCAGCCAGCTGACTTGCAATGGCTGGGAGCGCCCCAGAAGATAAGCAGAACATCCATCACCTTTTCCCTCCCAGGGCATTGCTAGCTGTATTTACATAAGTCCTTCACACACTACTGCAAAGTCCTCCTCTGAGGCTGTACATGCTGAAGGCTGCTGTGTGAAGCAGGGAGGTTGGAGAGAATCAACGCGTATGGGGGAAATAAAAAGCAAAGCAAGCCAACGAATCCTGCACATTCCCACAGAACAAAGAGGTGCCCACACAGAAATGACCCTGGAAATGAGAAATCCCACTCAACTGAGATGCTTAACTCCCCGAGGTGCTATTGAAAATCCCAGACAAAACACCGATGTTTAAAAACAGGGATCATAAATAATACCAGCGGACGAAAACATTGTCACGGGACAACAGTCTCCTGCTGCTAGATTACTGCTATGATAAAAGCTGAATTATTGATCAATGAGAAATATAGAGGCAACAGTTGCATTTATTTTCCAGGCAACATATTTTCATGTTGTCATTTCCAGTTTCACTGACTTTTTTTCCTCTGACACAAAAGGCTGCTACTGCTGATTTTCTTCTGACAGATTGAAACAAACAATCACCTCCATTAGTGATCGGCCACAGTTTTACTGGCTCAAGCAACAGACTATGAACATGCAAACTAAACGCCGGGCTGTTTATTAAAATTTAGGTCAACATTTTTGAAAGTGGGTGTGAGAGGTTAGTTGCCCTGATTCATACTAGGGACCTAAATAAACTGATTTTCAGAGATGTTGAGCATTGGTCTCTCGCTAACTCTATTGGATACTTCCTGAAAAGCGCTAATCACTCGTTAAACTCTCTTTGAAATCAATGAGAGTTGTAAATGTTCAAGAACTCTTGGGATTAAGACAATGGGATGTGTACCCAAACCAGACGCTAGATAGCATCGTCTTAGTTTAATATCAATTCTTAGTTTAATATCAATGATATGACTCTCATATTGAACATTATTATTATTATTATTATTATTATTTCATATGAGTTAAAAGAATTAGATCATTCAAAGTTTTTGTTTCAAAGGGTAAATTGTTTGTAATCAAATCACTCCATTGTAACTCTGTTGTCATGTTTAAACTTCCTGACTAACCTGGAAATAAATTGATTTGGGTTTCAGGAAGCAGTGCTACTTCTGAGAATTTTCTAATTTTCTTTCAGTGAACTGTGTGTGTGCTCATTTTATAAGGTGATAATTTAACAACTAATTTTTACCTTAATACTGGATGATAAATTGTCCTGTAAAGAATTAGGACTTTCCACACATTCAATCATTACTTTGAACACCTGCTATTTTTGTCCTTGGGAATGTGAGCCACAGGACTGATTTTAATAGCCCTTTTCATACCCCACTGTCTCTGTACCCTCTATTAAGGAATTAAACATAATCCCTGATTGTTATATATGCACACAATTGGCAGCATGGTTCCATATGCCTTGTCTAGGCTTTACACCTGTGCTTAGAGAAGGCACATTGGATTGAGCTACTCTGGATCAATAAAGATCCCATGTCTTTTCTGGACAACTAGGATCATAATTCACACTGGTGACCTGGATAAATTCCTATTGGGTAAGAACGTTTTACCTATCTAAAACCTGTTTGCACTTCTATTGGAGCACTTCCTCCCTGTACTTTATTTTTTTCTTCTTTTAATACAAGCTGCTGCCTTATGGTCTAGATGTGGCGGCATTGAAATGACCGGGCAAAGCAGTCCTTCTACATATGAGCTCTAAGTATGCTTCCCTGGGGCACTCAAAACTTCTAATGAAGTTAGTGGGCTGTGCTGAATGGACATATAGGGGTAGGTCTGGCCTCATGGTTTGTACTCATGTCTTTGGGATCTTTGCATGCAAGGCACTATGTAAATGTCAAGAACATCTCAAACTGGTTTGGGACTACACACTGGGCAACGACTTCAACTGGAGTAGGATGGGATCCCAAAAAGTGTGCATATGACTGAGACTTTTCCAGGCTATCTGTCTCAAAATATAATGATGAATGGGTTGAAAAATAAAGTGTTTTTTATATTCCATCGGAGTAAGAATAACAAACTACACACTGGCAGGTACAATCAATATGTTGAAGATAAAAGCTAACTGTGCTGGGTATTAGATCACAAAATGTACAACTACCTGTAGATTATTCCTTTTGAATGAAGAAATTGTAGACCACAAATGATTTCAGCAGCATAGAACCTGGGGAAAAAAAGAACATGCATCAGAACTGATGTCTCCCCCTAGAAATTCTCTGCTTAGGGCCAGATCCACAGCTGGTACAAACTGACAACACTACAATGAATTTAAAGGCGCACAGGCAACATCTTCAAAAGCAGCCACTTGATTTTAGGACCCTGACTTTTCAAACATGACTTGGACACTTAAGGGTATGTCTACACTACATGGCTCCGTCGACGGAGCCATGTAGATTTGTTTATTGGGCAAAAGGAAATGAAGAGGCGATTTAAATAATCGCCGCTTCATTTAAGTTTAAATGGCTGCCGCGCTGAGCCGACAAACAGCTGATCAGCTGTTTGTCGACTCAGCACGCTAGTCTGGATGCTCCGCGGTCAACATCAAAGCCCTTTGTTGACAGCCCCGGTAAACCTCATCCCACGAGGAATAGCGGGGTGGTCGACAAAGGGCTTTGATTTCGACAGCGGAGCGTCCAGACTAGCATGCTGAGCTGACAAACAGCTGATCAGCTGTTTGTCGGCTCAGCGCGGCAGCCATTTAAATGAAGCGGTGATTATTTAAATCGCCGCTTCATTTCCCTTTGCCTACAACCCTAATCTATATGGCTCCGTCAATGGAGTCATGTAGTCTAGACACAGCCTAAAAGCCCAAGTCCCGCTGTCTTTTGATGAGGCGTAGGCTTCTAAGGGCCAGATTAGAATAGCCCACTGGGAACCCAACAGTGTTTTAGGTGCCTAAGTAAAGGATCTAAGCAGGTTTGGTTCTACAGGTTGAACCTCTCTAAACTGGGACTCTCTAATCTGCCAGACCACGGATGTTCCAGGACCAGAGAGCCCCGGTGGAGGGCTGGTGGAGGGAGCCCTGAGGGCCGGCAGGGCCGGGGGCTCCCATCACCGGGCTGCCCAGCAGGGCAATTGAGGTCAGCAGGGCAGCGGGGGTAGCTGGTCAGGAGGCTGGTGGCTGGGCCAGGGATAGGGGGGCCAGAAACAACTTCCCCTGGCTCCCCAAATCCCTCATCTGGGACCAGTCAGGTCCAGAGGGTGCTGGCCCAGGGAGGTCAAACCTGTACCTGCCATTGAAATGACTCAGGCAATCAATAAGAGTTGGCTCCAGTGTTCCTGCTAAGCTGCACAGCTTTACAGGGGATTAATCAGCCCGTCCCAGTCAGAGGCTCAGGGCTCTGGGCGGGGCTGATTAATCCCCTGTGAGACTGTGCTGCCCTGCAGCTAACCTGCTTACACACTTTGGAAAATCCCCTTAGGTGCCCTGTGCATCTTTAGGCACCTTTGAAAATTTGCTCCCTAAGTCCCTTTTGGAAATGGAACTTAGGCTCCCAAGCCACTTAGATCGGGGTGGGGAACCTCAGGCCCGTGGGTGGCCCCTGGCTTACCTAGATCCAGCCCCTGAGGTTCAGGGCTCCCTCCAGTATTAGGGAGTCTGTGGTGGTGCTTCAGTCCCCCCAGCTGCCCACCGCGGGGCTGGGGCACACAAATCTACTAGCCTAGACTCTGGTGTGCGAGGGGAACGTGGGGAGTGTCTTTCTCCTTCTCAGTCGGGGGCCATGTTAGTGAGGGTTTGGAGTTTTCTTTTATTTTTTTGCTTCTCACTTGTGTTCAGCCCCTGACTGATTTTTCGATGGGTCAGCGGCGCACGACCCCAAAAAGGTTCCCTGCCCCTGATTTAGATGCTTTTGGAAATTGTACCCCCACATGAGTGTACACTGGCTGCCGATCTGGCTACTCGTGTCTTTCCCCAGAACCCTTTTATTTAAGGTTCTTTAGATCCTGGTCCACGGCAGATTTCTGCATTGGGGTGAAACTTCACCCTCATCCACAGGACTAGGGGAGGGCCAATAGGCCACTTAAGTTCCACTACAGCCCTCAAAATAGGACTCCTGTGCCCAGAGGTGAATGTAACCCTACGACCATACTTCCACTGGATGCTGCTGCATCTTCTCATGACTGTCATAGGCTGGGGGCACAGTCCTCAATATTCAATTACCACCCCCCAACAAATTAAACTTTTATTTAAATTAGGCTCTGTTATTTAAATAAAAATTAATTTCTAAGATGTTCCAATATTGACTTTACCATATCTTTTGTTGGCACAAGGACTTAAAAAAAACCCTTTTATTTATTTCAATTCCTCTGTTTTAATCGTGGCTAAATACATTTTTAATTCCCCCTTGGTATATTGTACTTCTTAAATAAATGTTCCTTTCTAACATCAGATACAACAGGAGTCATGTTACCAATCCACCTTTTTTTGCTGCTCGGTGACGAAAACAAGAGACTCCCTTTTCTTTGTAAAATGCTATTTTTGTCCAAAGTAGGTGGTCCCAGGATTCCATAAAGAGGTCCTATAAATGGGCATGTGGCTTACAGGGCTAAAGCCGAAGAGCTTCAATTTCTGGGAATGGCTGAGGTGTCCGCCATGGAATTCTTTTGTGGCCCTTTTGATCAGTGGCTTTTTCTATCCTGCAGCTACAGATTGACCCTCTCTGGTCTGGCAACATCCATGTTCTGGCATGATTTTAGTTAGCCGGATGCCCACTTATCATGGGTGTGGCCAAGTTTCCCACAGTCCCATAAAGTTCATTTACAGCCACCAGTCCTGGCTCTCAGTGTCCTGTGCTGTTATTTAGCTCTAATTTATCCCTAAATATCCTCTCAGAGCCCAGTGAACAGGAGAAGTGTTGGTGTTGCTGCTAGACAATATTGACCTCCCCTGGTCCAGCAAATTCTCTGGTTGCGCATCGGTCAGGTCTCGAGGGTGCTGGACGAGAGAAGTTCAACCGGGAGAGGTATAATTCCCTGCCCAGAGTGACGTACACATGCTAGCTTTGACTGAACTAGACCATAATCTAGTGAACTAGTAGAGTAGCTGCAGCAGATTGCCTGCCTGAGCATCAAGGGCCTGATTAGCCTCTCCTTTACTCCAGTTGAGATCGCCTGCTTGAGCATCAGGGGCCTGATTAGCCTCTCCTTTACTCCAGTTTTACTTTGCTGAAACTTCCGGGGTTCTATTCCTGATTTCCATCAGTGGCAGTGAGAGAACTAAGGCCCTGATCAGAAAATCAAGGTTGGGTACAATTTGGAAAGTGAGGGCAAATAAGCACCAGGATGGCTGAGTGGTGAAGGTGTTGGGACTGAACCCACAGAGACTTATGTCCATTGGATTTTTATTCCAACTCCTGGTAGCTCCTGCTTGAGCAAGCTCCTCATGAAGTTGTGATGAGCAGGGTTCCTTGGGCTATGTCTACACTGCATCCCTCATGTGGAAAAGCCTATGCAAATGAAGTATGATTAGCATATTGCTGCACTTCATTTGCATAATTAATTAGGGTCCGTTTTTGCGCAAAAAACCCTCTTGCGCAAGAGCTGTTCTTCCTGAAAAAATGAGGCACTGAGGGAAGACGTGACATGACTGAGGCCAGATTATAATAATACCAACCCCATATCTACTAATTTTCACCTGTAGGTCCCAAAGTGCTTTACAAGAGAAGTACCAGTGTCATAGCCCCTATTTTTCAGGTGGGGAAACTGAGGCATGGAGAAGCAGCTTGCCCAAAATCACACAGCAGGCCACTGGCAGAGCCAGACACCAAACCTGCATCTGCTGAGCCCCTGTGCTTTATTCACGGTGCCTTCCTATTACACTAAATGTGTGACCTGCAAACTAAAAGGCCTTTTTGACCATCTTACGTTGCTCTGGCGGTTTCAAACTTGTGACAGCTTTGGATATGAAACATGAGGTCTCCTCCATTTAGATATTCCATTACAAAAAAGAGGTTTTCCTAGAAAAATAATAAAAGGCTAGCATTAAATACTGAAAAGAAAAATGCCATTGTTAGAGGTAAGGGAACATCAGAAGGACACAATACAAAGTCGGATTCCTGAAGCAAGCAATTTATTTCATTAGTATTTCTTTTCCCCTTTCTCTTCCTTGAGCCCCTACTTAGCTCCCACTGCCCTGATTTGTATAAACATTGCTAAAAACATAATAATACTCAGTCCTTAACTCACACATAGCATCTTTCATCAGCAGATCTCAAAACACATAACAAAGGAGGTCAGCATCATTATCTCCCTTCCAGCAATGGGGAAACTGAGGCAAAGAGCAGCCACGCGTTTTGCCCACATCCAGCCAGCAGACAGACAGAGCTGCGAATAGAGTCCGGGGCTATGTCTAGACTGCTGGCTTTTGCTGGCAGAGCGAATGCAAATGAAGTGCTGATTAGCATTTTGTCACGCTTCATTTTCATAATCTATTCAAGCCGGTTTTGCACAAGGGATTTTTGCACAAAAACAAGCAGTGTAGACAAAACCCCTTTTTTGCACAACATCCTTATGCCTCTTTTCCAAATTAAACAAGCCCAGTTCTTTCAGTTTTCCCTCATAAGTCATGTTTTCTAAATCTTTAATAATTTTTGTTGCTCTTCTCTGGACCCTCTCCAATTTCTCCATCTTTCTTGAAATGTGGTGCCCAGAACTGGACACAATACTCCAACTGAGGCCTAATCAGCACAGAGTAGAACGGAAGAATGACTTTTCATGTCTTGCTCACAACACTCCTATTAATGAGTCACGCAGCTCCATGCTGGGCAATACACATCATTAAAGGCCTGCTCTACCTTGAAGAATGGGTAGTTGAAAAGACAAATACATCAGTAGAGCCCTGCGCGGATACAAAAATGTGGATCCGCATCCGATCCGCATCCACCAGGCTCTCAACTCATCCTCTGAGCTGCAATCTGCTATCCAGAGTTTAGCTGCATCAGTACAGCAAACCATCGGGGGGAGGGGGAGAGGCCGAGGGAGCACAATGAGCAAAGAGGGGGCAGAGTTGCTCAGGGAAGAGTCAAGCAGCACAAAAGCAGGGACTGGGTGAAAGGGCAACATGGACTGGGAGGTAAGGGACAGTAGGGACCCAGGGATGGGGCTCCATCGGTCAGTGCTCACCAGGTGGAAGTGAGGGGGGGAGAGAGCACTCAGCCCCTCCTGCAGGGAGATTTAGGATGGAGCTTCTTGTGTCCTTTCCCTGCCGGCAGTGCAGGGGCCTACCCTGGGGCCCCTTCCCCACCAGGTGTCCAGGTGGAGGGGGAAGGGAGAGCTCTGTACGGGTATCCATTCCACTATCTGTGGATGTGAAGTGGCGATCCGTGGTTATGCAGGGCCCTGCACATAAGACGCTTTGCAATGGGAAAGCACCTTTCTAGTCTATGTCCCCTCTCCAAGGTGCTGAGCCCACTGGTAAGCTGCGGGTTGATTTCAGAGGGCGGTGAGTTACATGCTCAAGCCCCTTAGAGCGGTGAGGAATGCAACACACACGTAAATACGTAGCACTTGTGTCACTTAGCCCATTGCCCACCTTCACAGGGCGCGGCACGCATGGCGTTAAATCAGCCTTCCATGCAACCGCTGTGAACGTGACTAACTGCTGGCAGAGGTGGTTCTGCCTTTATAAACAGCAAGTATGAAACCAGGCAGCATGTAAATTAATCTTTGGAAGGTTCGTTCTAATCCTGTGGTCAGCTGGGATCTCTCCACAGCCCTTTTCATGGGCTCTGTTTATTTTTTAAGTGCTGCACACTTATGACTATTGTCAGTCCAAAACCAGCAAGGAGTCCTGTGGCACCTTAAAGACTTAACAGATTGATTTGGGCATCAGCTTTCATAGTTTTTACCCATCAGAGCTTATGCCCTAATAATTCTGTTAGGCTGCATCTAGACTGGCAAGTTTTTCCACAAAAGTGGCCACTTTTCTGCAAAAACTTGCCAGCTGTCTACACTGGCCCTCTTGCGCAAAACCACATCTAGATTGACACGGACACTTTTCTGCAAAAACTTGCCAGCTGTCTACACTGGCCCTCTTGCGCAAAACCACATCTAGATTGACACGGACACTTTTCTGCAAAAACTTGCCAGCTGTCTACACTGGCCCTCTTGCGCAAAACCACATCTAGATTGACACGGACACTTTTCTGCAAAAAGTGCTTTTGCGGAAAAGCGTCAGTACCAATCTAGACGCTCTTTTCCGCAAATGCTTTTAACGGAAAAACTTTTTAGTTAAAAGCATTTGTGGAAAATCATGCCAGTCTAGACGTAGCCATAGTCTTTAAGATGCCATAAGACTCCTCATTGTTTTTGCAGATACAGACAAACACGACTACCCTTGTGAGAGGAAGAAATATCTTCCCATGGCTTTAGCGTACACAAATATTTGACCCCTTAATGTGGTAGGCATACATGCTACATAGACCTGATATTGGTTTCCTTTGTTTGTCCAGCAAATGATTGCCATTCTAGAGCCAAATCCTCAGATGGTGCAAATTAACGTATAACTCCAGTGATGTCAATGGGAAACAGATCAATTTACATCTTCAAGTTCACCTATATCAGGTGGTATAGGCCTTATAGAAAAGCTCACAGGGCTGAGCCTACACTTCCTTAGGGAAGGTCTACACTAGACCTAGAAGACTGGGTTAAGGTACACAACTCCAGCTACGTAAAACATGTAGCTGGAGTTGGCTTACCTTAAGCCAAGCTTGGCACTGTATTCGCAGCGGGAGGCTGACGGAAGCAAACACTCCAGTCAGCTTTCCTTACTCCTTGTGAATGTCAGGAGTAGTGGCGCCCACCGGAGTCACCCTCAGCATTCTATTTAGCTGGTCTTTCCTAGACCTGCTAAATCACACGCCAGAAGATTGGTCTTCAGCATGGCATAAGGCTTAAGTCTCAATGATTTTGATGGGACTGTTTGTGTGATGAATGGCTTGTGCAGGATCCTGTCTCTGTCCATGTGTGATTATTGGAAGTACAGAAGAAGCATTTGCAAGGGAAGCTTTTGGGGGCAATCAAAGCCTAGTGCAGGGGTGGGGAACCTGTTTTTGGGTCAGGGTCTGCTGGCCCACAGAAAAATCAGTTGCAGTCCACACACAAATGAGCAGTTTAAAAAAAACCACCACAACAAAAACCCCTCACTGATGTGGCCTCCGACTGAGAAGATGAAAGACGCACCTCACGTTCCCCTCCCATTCCAGAGCCTAGGAGGGTTCAGCCTAGTAGATCTGGTGTTCTCTAGTCCCATGATGGGGCAGCCGGCAGGCTGGAGTGCAAGTGTGGGCACCCTCATGCTGAGGGTGGTGGGGCTTGAGCCTCTGGGGCTGGATCCAGGCAAGCTAGGGCCCACATCCGGCCCCTGGCTTGAGGGTATATCTACACAGCAACACTATTTTGAAATAACTAGCGCTATTCCAAAATAACTTAAGCTGTGTCTAGACTGCAGGGTTTTTTGGAAAAAAGTAGCCTTTTTTCGAAAAAACTTCACCTGCATCTAGATTACAGCCGCGTTCTTTCGAAATTAAATCGAAAGAACGTGGCTTTTCTTTCGATGGTGGTACTCCTCATTTCACGAGGAATAACGCCTTTTTTCGAAAGCGCTCTTTCAAAAAAAGGCGCTATGTCATGCAAACTGTGCTTTTTCGAAAGAGAGCATCCAGACTGCCTGGGTGCTCTCTTTTGAAAAAGTGGCTTGCTTTTTCGAAAGTACTGGTTACAGTCTAGATGCTCTTTTTTGAAAGAGGCTTTTTCGAAAGAGGCTTGCAGTCTAGACGTAGCCTTAGTCCGTGTCTACACAGCAGGCAGTTATTTTGAAATAGTGTCAAAATATTGTCAAGCTGGAGGACTTCTTACTCTGACTCCTGTAACCCCCATTGTACAAGGAATAAGGGAGGTCGGAGGAAGAGTGCTCCATTTTGAAATAAGTGCTGTGTTAGGCTCCCTATTTTGAAATAAGATACGCAATTGACATAGCTCAATTTGACTAGCTTATTTCAAGTTAAGCCCTGCAGTGTCGATGTACCCTGAGATTCCCCACGCATGGCCTAGCAATTAGCATTCAAAATTAGCAGACAAAATAACTGAGAGTTTAATTTTGTTCTTCAATGCTAAAGAATAATTCCTCTTGTGTCATATCAGCCTATTCGCTAGAGATGGCAGCATTTCCTACAGCTGCCAGCCAGTTCAATTCAGTTCTCATCTTGCACAATGAGCTTTCTTTTCCAGTTCTTGCACTTGCAGCATCTTTTACTGCACGTTAAACAACCTGATTCAGAATGCATATTTGCAAGTCCAGCTGCTCAGTTTAAAGCAGTATTCACATCTGAGTATGTATATAAAGACACATGTGCAGATGGGCACATACTGAAGGCCTCCTGGTATAATTTAGTAAAGTTTAACAAAAGGCTAACTGCACTGCTTAAGTCTCTTTTAGGACTTCAAAACAGGGTTTTCTGTGGCTCTTAGGTGCAGTAGCTCTTTTAGGAGACCAGCTGCCTCTATTGCTGGTTTTAGGACTGGTTGAAAATATTCTAAAATTCTTTTGGGATGAAAATTGTGTTTCTGACTAAAGACAGGTGTACACTAAAAGGGAAAGTTGAATCAAGATAGGCAACTCCAGCTACATTAATTATGTGTCTGGAGTTGACATACCTTAGGTTGCTGTGATTGATCTTCAGGAGTTAGATTTAGTGAGTCTAGTTAAGACTTGCTAAATCAAACTCAGAGGGTGTCCCTGCCAGTGGCTGCTACTCTTGCTCCCATTGGTCTCCTGCTGTGGAGATGGCAGGGAAGCTTGAAACAAGGTTTCTCAACTCCAGCTATGTAATTAGCGTAGCTGAAGTTGCGTATCTTGATTTGACCTTCCCTTTTAGTTTAGACCTGGCCTAAATAAAAATTGATTTGTGCTCAAAAACGTTTCCATCTTTTGTTGGAAAACTTAAAAATTCTCTAGCTT